TCAAACAATGTCTCCAGTAAAGATATACAGCTTCCATTTTAATTCTGCATCTCACCAAGAGAAAAAAAAATGTAGAAGAGTAGAAGCATCTCATTATCTGATCTTTATTTATATGCAACAAAATCTATACAAAGCAAGGTGGTTTAGGAGACTGAGTGGAGAAGAGACAATAGAAAACACTCAGAGCAAATCCCAGTATTAGTTACTGCTTTACACATTTTGAAAAGGGAAAGTATTAACGATATTTTGCCTTAGTTACACTCTGCAATAAAATAGGAATAATTTCTACTCCTCTACTTCACTGGTCTGCTTATATAATTAAATTGCAAAGCCTCAACAAGGTCTGATCATAATTTCTAGTGCAAGAAGTCAGTCTGTGTTGCCTTCAGCTCGACTTTCCCTGTACCCAGAGAGCCCTTGCACTCCAGGGGTTTTCAGAAACTCCCTGTCATGGACTCTCTGCTCTCAGTTCAAGGTTGCTGTTGAGGTCAAGAGATGCAGACTACCCTATTCTTTATGATTTCAAATTTGCTGTTCACCATACAGGACTATACTGCATGGCCCCAGAAGACATGAAGCCATAGAGCAAGAACTGCCCCTGGGGTGTACAGCAGCAATGCACCACCAGCCCAAACTGAAAATTGCACTCACTCCCTCGATTTTCTGCAGGACACTCGCACTGCACAATGAGCTGAGCTGCACCCTTAGTGACACAAGCTAACACCTTTCCTGAGGGTAGACTCATTGATCTCAAGCATGAATGTCCAGGGGAACCAGATGCTACGTGTGTGAGAGCAAATGTCCAGTCCTAGATAATGGTCATCAGAGTGGGATATTTGTCTTCTGGCATTTAATTTAAGACTGTATGTCTGTGTTTAATGACAAATGTGTTATTTATTTTAAAGTCGCAACTATAATATTTGGGATTCAGCAGATTTTTCCTGGACATTATCTGAAACTGATTCTGGATTGCACTTATTGCTGCAACTTTACATTTCTTCTGAAACTACAATGGACGTCACCTGTAAATATCTCAAGAATATAATTAAGACCATCTGCTAGAGGGAATTGATTTTGGAAACTTTTGCTGGAGAGGAAACCAAATTCACTCCTGGGAGTGGGGTCTCTAATAGTGTTTCCTTTTCCTCTGAAATAATAGTATGAAGCAAAACCATTCTGGGAAGTGTCAACAAAATCTGAATTTGATGTACAAGGTCTGAAAAGCCAAAGTTAGAAGGAGAACCATGGGACCAAATCTGTTTACACAGATGCTGGATTGACTCCAAAACCTATGAAAATCCTCCCAGGGCTGAACAATGGGACTGAAATGAGGCATCAAAGAATAATTAATATATGTTAACTTGCTCCCACCCACTATCACACGGTATGGGATTTTTTTCCCTCCAAGCACAAATAATCAACATAGTGCAAAGCGTTTCTAATCCATTCATGGTGTTAGCCTGTACTCAGGCAGGGAAGGCACCACCAACAAAGGTTTGACTGGAGCTGGCCTGCATTACTGCTCTTGTATTTGTAAACAATTTCAGGTGGAATACAAGCCAGTATATATAAGGCAGTTCCTTCACAGAAATTAGTTTAATCCATTAATTTTTGTGTGAATATACAGGTATCTGAGCTGGGGACTGACCCTCTGACAGCTAGCTCAGGCACGGACTGAGGCCCCAGGCTGAGCTGAAATGGGGCTCCTGGGCCCGCGGGCAGGGGAAGCCCCATGGTCAAGGCCATAAAGGCCAGTTAGTGCCCGTGGAGCCCTGAAAAATACTTACAGGACACTTCAGGATCTAACTTTAATAAGAACTACTTTGAATGGATAGCTTTATGAACAGCAGAATATATTGGACATAATATTATACAGAAGTAGATAAGATTGTTTATTGTTTATACTTCCTAGAATCAACAATACTAGATTTTTAGGTTACAACCTGAAAAAAATAGTGCCTATTCAATGACTCATTTTCTTTTTGGATGTTTAAGTCACACCGTTAATATTTCCCAGGTAGCCATTGGCAGAGCAAAACTAGCTATCTTCCTGCACTTGACCACAGCACTTGAAGGAATAATCATTGCCTTTTTTCAGGACAGCTAACAGTGGGACCAGTTAACCTAACTAAATGGAGAGATTTCCCATCATTGGCTTTGTTTTTTTAAAAACTTTGATCTGAAGTCCATGCGTGAGGAAGGAGGTAGGAAGAGGAAAGGCCAGTATTAATTGCAGAGAGTGCAGGCAGAGTAGGATAACAAATTTGAAATAAATCATGTAACCAAACCATAACAGGAAATCTTTGATAGTGTGAGCATTGTACAGAGCCAGTACGCTCTCCCCAAAATGCAGTGGCCTTTCATTAGTGTTCCTGGAAAGCTCAGGCAAGACATTTCCCTAATGTGGTAGAATATCAGCTCTAAATTGCTAAACAACTTCGTTTTCTACTCCTTTACACCAGTTCACCACAAAAAAACCCACCCCCAAAATCCACCCCCCCCAAAAAAAATCCCAAACAAAACCCCCAAACACCTTTATTTGGAAACAGCAGAACTACACCAATTTGAGAATAAAGTGAGATAGAAATATATAAATTGGACACTGCTCATGACTTTAAATTAACATATGTTGGAACGGATATGAAAACGGCTTCTCTTTGAGCAAGTTTTACTTGCAGCTTCAGTTTCCTGAAGATGTTTCTTTTATCCCTCAAAAATATTTTCAACAGCATGCACTAAAATGTCACAACAAAACTTGTCTCCTTATTTCATAATTCCATAGCATTATAAGGCAGTGGTGGCTGGATAATGCATAATTTATTCTTTTTCAGTTGTTCTTGGAAGTCTTATTTTCCACCATCTTACATGACAGTGATCTACAGAGAGTTATTGAAATCTGAGGACAATAATTGGTTATTTTATACTGATGACAACATTGTGTTTACACAATTCATGAAAAGTAAAACTTTTGTCTTGTATAATAACAAATGGAAGTCATTTGGAAATGAATTACACCTTCAAGTCTTGAGCATTATAAATCTTGGCTTGCAGTATTATAAAAGAATTGTAGTTTTAAGTAGCTAGCCTAATCTAACACAAAGAGGTTGTATATATGGTAGCTCCGCGTCATGGTACACTTACATTGAAGTTACCAGCAACATAGGCTGAAGCTAACATCAAAATAAAGCAAATAAATATGTGAGCTTAAGTAATTCTGGAGAATTGGCTCCAAAGAATTCCAGTTTCCTGTTGACCTGTGTCTTACCATTGGTTAACTTTTGTATTTAAGATAACTTCTTATGTGTGCCAGAAGGGCTTATGATGTTTTTCTTCCATTTAAAGTCAAACAAAGTGTCACTTTCATGTGCAGTCTTTCCATCATCAAGGTACTTTAATGGTCTATCTCCTTCATCAGGCTGTCTATTCTCATTACATTTGTGGAAGAATAATTATCTTTGGGACCTCTAGCCTCTACTTCACATGTGGCTGAAATCAGAGAGCACACACACAAACACAGATTTTATAAGCCTTGTTTCCAAAGGAAATAGCTCTAAAAAGATACTCTTCTGCCTTTTGTTTTACAAGAAGTGATCTCATTGTAATCAAAACGGATGTCCTATAAAAGACATTGGATTTTTCCATTCTAATGAAAGGTAAACAACTAACACTACCGACTATCAGAAAGGTAAACAAGCAGCAGTAAGTGATAGACCAGTGACCCCAAAGCAGGCATAAAGTCCCACTTTAAGCAGTAGTGTTTCTTTTGGAAGGGCAAAGGATTTTCCTATCATGCTGTGGTTTGCTGCACCCAAACTCCTGCTGCTATTTAATGTATTTCTGATTGTAACCTTACCAGGTTCCTCATCCGATCGGTTTGTTTTCTAAGTTTGTTTTCTATTGTTTCTGTGGGGAGATTCCCTTCCCTAATAACAAAAAAAAAAAAAAAAAAAAATCTGTTTCTAATATCCTGTATAAGAACACTGCCTAGATCTTCCATGTTCACATTAGAGACAGGAAAAAAACTAAATGAAAGTGATATGAAGATTGGGCAATGCAGAAAGGAGACCTTAGGGGACCAAGAAAAATACTTACTTTTATACAGATCATGAAAAAAAATTCTTGCAAGACATATCCTCTAGCTATAATATTTTCAGATGACATAGGTAAAGAGGATGATTCATAAATACTCAGGAAATTATGAAAAGGATAACTGGTCCAAAATTATGGGAAAAGCCATTTTCCATACTTGGTAGGATGAACATAAAGAACAGACTATTTCTGCTACCGAGGGTAAACTCAGTAATGTGACACATGCACTGAGCAACTAAAATATCAGTAGAGTAGCAACAGATTCTGCAACAACTGATGCCACAAGCTGAAGGTATGCAATTGCACAATCCCTCAGGCTTCTGAATCTGGTAGAAATCTCCCCACCACCTGTCACCAAGCAGTTTCACTTTCAGGACATGTTTGTCTGGTGTGACAGAAATTCACCTAAACCTTTTCAGTTTTGTCTGATCTGACACCCCTTTGGAAGAACTGTAGCAGGGGAGGCTCTGCTTCCCAACCAGTGTAAAAGTAATACTCAAGACACTGATACTTCTGATTATTTATTATGGCACCTTAAAGCATATAAACTCCATCTCTAGGTGTTTCAAGCCAGTTTAAAAATAAAATGAGGCTTTAAGTTTTAGGCATTTCAGTAATTTTGCTTAAGAATTTTTAGAATGTTACTAGGCAGGAAACAAGAATTTTGCTAGGAAAACAGTCTTCTCAAAATAAGGCTTCCTTTCAGCAAACCATGTACATGTTTGCTTAAATTTATAATGTCCACTGGTTCACCAATATATATTTTCTCAGGTAAGAAATCTGTGGGTTTGAAACGTGAAAAAACACACTCACCCCTGAAAATAAATTCCTCTACTTAAACAACAAAGCTTGTCTCTTACTTATACCCACCCAACTCTATTTATTTTGTAACATGCAAGACAGAAACAATTGAGCCTGAATTGTGAATGTTTTTTCTATTTCTGATTTTACCACCTTAGCAATTAAAGATGCTGGTCAAAATTCAGCTTGCTATTAACTGTTTGTTGTCATATTATCTTGAACTGGAGGCAGTTTGTAGTAGAGCCTAAAACCAAACTGAGTTTTTATAAAACATCACTTTAAAACCCCACCATAGTAACAACATTTCCACTTTATATACTCCACAATTTTATTTAATAGCCTCATAAGTTCAGAATAGTTACATAATAGTTACATCACGGCTTTTAAAAAGGATTGCACTCAGCTACTCAGTCCATTGAAATACTAGAAAACAGGGAGAGGGAAATACGGAGTGTAAAGGAGCTCTGTCCACTGGACTGAGTTGTTTGTAGCAAGTTCCTACTGAACGTGAAGACATCCTCATGCTTTCTGGTAGACTCTAGTACACTTGACACCATTCATGTCACATTCCTAGAAGATAAAGAGATGGATTTATTAATTTGCCTCAGTACAGACTATAAGGAAAAAGATCCTTACTTTTCAGGCTACTGGCCAGCAGCACTTAGGGATCAGAAAGCGGGAACTCACCACCACCAACTGCCCATCCACTAGTTTCCGTGTTATTATAGTCTTCTTGCCATCCCATTATCAATGACCCATCATCTTTTAGGCTGACAAGGGTCTGAAAAAAGAATGTAAACATTTAGATTTTACCCATAACATTTGATGGAGTCTAAGGCTTTCCAACACCATATTCCATAGGAAAAAACTCCCACCGCAGCTCGCACTAGTAATTTTGCCATTGACTTCTACAAAGCCAGGATATTATCTTAAATGTTTTATTGATCCTCTTCTTACATTAGCTCACTGCTTGTTCACTCACTGCTCTGACACATTCCTGCATCAGGCAGACCTTTGACAGCATGCACAATTTCAATTAACAAGAGCAGACTGTGTTCTCTGTTCATCAATTTGTACATAGGTTTTGAGCTTTTGTATAACGTTTATCTGATCTTGCACTAACAGATGAATTGCCAGTGTGTGGCTGGACAGGGGAGTGGTACACCGAGAGCACTCACACAAGGAAATGAGAGAGACAAATTTGAACTTCTTTGTATTTAACCTCCTTTTGGATTAGTATTCTCCCTTTTTGGGGCAGGGAGAAGCTCTTTGACTTCTAAAACTGGAGATCAGGGACTGCGGCTTGCATTTATGCCTTGTGTGTCTGTTATCCCACTGCACACTGAAGCAGGCTCTCTTCTTATGCAAATACGAGAAAGGTTAACCCTAGGGCTGAATTGCCTCTGACTAAACATCAATGGAATTTTTTCCACAGGCCTCATATAAAGTGGCATTTGGCTTTAAAAGGGATTTAGAGCTCTGTTAGTTTTACTAACACAATGCTTCTGCTACAAATAGAATACAAAATACACAAGACATTATCAGTTTCAGCATTTTCCCCTCTTTGGAAGTTGCTTAATACAGGAAAAAAATAAAGGAATTTATTTCAGTGAGAGTTACAGAGACAGCTGTTCATCATATAAAGCATTGTTAGTACAGATTTCAAAACTGACTTTTAAATAGCGTCTCCATGTGTAGAACACCCAGAGAACTGTGTTTTTTGAATAGAAAGTCTAGTATACTGACCTGAGTTTTCCTCCCATCTAGTGTATTTTCCTCAAATTTCTCACCAAGCTTGAAGCTGAACTGTGAAGTTTTGAAGGTGCTTTCTGTTTTTACGGTGATTGTGTCCCCATCCTTAATAATGTAAACATCTGGTTTGGCCATGCTTCCCATTTTTCTCATGGCCATACCCACACCTGCAAGGCACAGAATGTCACAAAGCCAGTTAAACCCTAAGGCTTAGGGCCACACAAGAATTCAAATACCTAATTCTCATTTAATTAGGCACTTAAGTACACTTGAGAATCAAAGCTCACAGCCACAAAGAGGAGGATGTTTTAAATTATACACTGATGAGGAAGGAAAAAAAAGCTTATTTACAGGGTTATTCTTTTGCTTCCTCAGAGACCTAAAGTTACATCTATTTTGCCCTCTAGAAGACTCCCAGATGTCCCAAAGCTCAGCATTGAATTTTTACAAACAGAAATAAACAATAAACAGGAAAAGAAACACAAAAGCTTAAACTAATATAAAACTATTCCTTTCAAGTTTTGAACATTTTAAAAATCCTACAGATTATTTTTAATTGACAGATTAATCCATCTTTATTTATTTCAACTTACTCAAGAAATACTGTTCCATCACTCTGTACACAATTGCAACCATGCAATTTTTAATGTAATTTCATCTCCTACATCCTGTATCCAAAGCATTGACTTGTGAATTAGAAAACTGCTATAATGTAAAGTAATGCTCACAGACAAATTATACACATGCACAAAAAAAAGGACTGTGAGAGAAATTAGCTTTGCCAATGACTGAAAATTCATCACTGGGAGACAACAGCCCTCAAAACTCTTCAGCAAAAAAGATTCACCCTGCCTCAGCCTGCGTATGCACTGAGTGGTTCTCTTGAACCTTTTTGCTCTGAAGGATGAAGATACCAATAAGAGGATAGTCAGGCAACAAACATGAATCCATCGAATTGGAAAGTGCAGATCTGAACCAAGAATTGCTGAAAAACCAAACAGAGCAGAAAGTGCCCCTGAGTAAGTATCTGGGCTCTGCAGCTAGTGTAGCTAGAAAATGTTGTCACATAACAGCACAGCACTCCGCCGGAGTGTACAGGATACTTGGGTTAGGGCTGAATCCACCAAGCAAAGATTACAGCTTCTGTGGGAGGTGGAAATAGCAAAGTACTTCCCAGCCATTGCTTCTCCAGACTCAACTGAGATTCCAGGGCTGAGCCTTAAGCTTGAGACTGCAGAGCAAAAACCAGTCCTCCTCAGTCCAGCTTTTCTGAGCAGAATTAGAAATTGTCACAGTGACCCCCCACCCACCCTTTTGCTGTCATCCAGTCCAGAGTAATCAGTGAGTTATCTGATCAGCTATGCATTTGGATCCAACTAAACAGAGATGAGCCGTGCATGTTTTCCATATGGCAAGGAAAGAAATTCAGGCTTCTTTATTCTTCAATGTTCTTTTATACAGACGGAGCAGAATCTGCAGAACCTCATTTATGATGCATCAATAAGATAAAAGGCAGAGGGTTTCCTAAGTAGTCAGTGAGGGTGAGATCCAATTAAGGACTGGCTCCTAAGGTGTAACTTGGAGTAAATTTAATTGCCTAAATTGCAATTGTGAAAAGGAAAAGTCACTGGTTTAAGATTGCAATCAAAAAACAAACAAACAAACAACACTCAGTTGCTGCCTACACATGGGAGGTGCTCTGCAGGTGCAGCACTTAATTTCTACTTTGAAGTTGCTACTTGGCAAAGGCCTAGCCCTGGTTGTTAGATGTGAGCACCGCCACATCCTAATCCATGGCTGAACTGAGCTTAAAATTCTTGAATTTCCTCCAAAGCCTCCCAAAGGGCTCAGTCCAGCAGGCTTTCTCACATCACAGCTATCACACACTGCCAGGTCTCTCAAAATGCAATCACAGCCACCACTGTCTGCAGCGTGTAAATGCAGTGATGCCCTTCTGCATTTTACACAAAGAGCACAAGACCTAAATTCCTTCCTCTCCTCCCTCCAAAGACATTCAAGTCCATATCCTCTGCCTCTTCAGAAAGTATCCCAGCTTTCAGGAGTGAATAAATTGCAGAAAAATAATATCTCCCAGGCTATACAGCCACTGCAAGGTGCCTGACCCCTGCCAGCCAAGATGCTCACAGGGAGGTGGTACACCTGAGCAGCCAGAGCAGGCTCCTGGTGTTAGGTCTGTTCTTAACGAGGTAATTTTGTGTTGCAAAAT